TAAGGGCTTCGTGGTGAAAGCCTTCAACAAAAACTTGGGCCATTGTTCGGTGGAAATAGTAGAGCTGAGAGCGATCCTCTTAGCAATGGAGGTCGCCAAGAAGTTAGGAATCACAAAATTAATATGCAAATCCGACTCCCGAGTAGCTATTGATCTGTTCCAGAGTATAAAGGATCAGAATGAAATCCCTCTAGATCCAGAATTAAGAGGGATCCATACCAGTTTGCGTTCTAATTGGGATGTATGTTTTGTACTAATGTGTAGGGATAATAATGTGTGCCGATGCTCTTGCTAAAGCCGCTTTAGGCGTAGATAGGGATTATATTTTTTTGATGTTCCCTCTCGGAGTATAGATATGGTACTGGAGAACGACTGTAAGGGTTCATCCAGATGTAATAATTGGCGTTAGCTTTATTTTAAGTCTTTCACCAAAAAAAAAAAGAAAGTAACAACTGGCACACTTTCAACTTTAGATCAGCCTCAACTCGGGATTTGGTCATTTCATTTCTTAATTTAAGTATCTCATCATGAGCTTTTTGCTCTCTTTCCTCGTATAATTCCTTTCTACCCGTTCTATATCCTTTACGAAATTCATTCATCATCTTTTTATAAACCTATGTAAAAATGCAAAAAGAAAGGAAAACCACGAGATAGTACAAAGTAAATTCACTTTTTTCTCAAAATTAGAGTCGTATTTGTAAAAAGAAATAATATTTTGCCATAAAACGAGTTTTCAAAACTTTTAATTAAAAAAAAGGAAAAAAAAAAGAAAAACCAATGGGAAATTTCACCCCTCTGGACTCTATGGAAAGGTTCGGAGTGAAGGGTTTTCCACCGTTTTCCTTTAAGATTTCACGAATGAGAATAAGAAGCCAGTGAAGATGCATCTCTCTAGCGGAGAACCTATTATGGAAAACTAATCTTCGGTTACCACAAATCTCAAGTAAGTCCTACGATTCAACGGTAACGAAATAATCAAACGATCATCATATCCGTTAACATTCTTGAAGAGAACTAATTTTTGAGCTGATTATTAATTATTTGAAATTGTAACATACAATACATAACTTTAAACCTTTCTTCATGCGTATACTGAAATCTAGCCATTCATGAAACGTTTGACCCGCCACCTCAGTTCATCACCATGTGTTAAAACAGTAATAATATAATCTACAATCTTTGAACCAAAATAACATTTCAATATCTTAATAAGATCTGCTACTTGAGTAAAATCGCTATTGATAGTGATGGCCATTAGGATTGCATCGATACCATACTTAGCCATATTCATACATTTAGTTATCTCCTCACCTTTCAACTCTAGTTTAGTCGAAGAATCCAATAAAAACCCTGTACCGATAAAGAATTTATATCTAGTCTCCTGCTGAATTTTGCTAAAACAGCATTCCACCTCTCTTTTTATGTTTCTAAATTTTCTGTAATTCTTTTCTATCCAAACATGGTAAACAGTGGCATTGAAAACAGCATAAAAAACCCTCTATTGCAGCTTCCTATACCTCCACAGTTGCAAAATTTCCTGGACATTCAACTGGTTGGGGATGATATTGATTCCCATCTAATCTTTCACCATTTCCAGCAGTCTTTTAGAAAACACACCATGAAAGAATAGATGTTTAGCAGTTTCAGTTTCTGCTTCACACAGAACACACCTTATAGCATCAGCAACAATATTCAGTTGTTGTAATCTCTCCCCAGTATTCAATCTATGTTTCCAAGCCAACCAGCTTATGAAGCTATGTTTTGGTACCGAGTAACAACACCAGACTACCTTTGCAGCATGATCCTTCCTGTGTTCACCTCTCAGCCATGTGTATCCACTACTTGCTGTATACTGCTTACCTCCATTTCCCATCCATTTACCATTGCTAATCCAAGCTTTTATAGCCTCATTGATTTTAATTAGTTTCTTCCAATGCCAACTGCTGTCATTTGGAGCTCTACAATCCCATACTGATCTGCCTTTTATGTAGTACATATGCATCCATTTGACCCACAAACTTTCCTTCCTGTTATTTAGATCCCACTACTGCTTAGTGATCATGGCTTTATTCCACAAACTAGTTTCCTTGATATTTAGGCCACCTTCTGATTTCTTCTGACACATATCATTCCATGCTACTAGAGGCAGCTTCCTTCCATCCTCCTTACTTCCCCAAAGAAACTGCCTACAAACTTTGACTATGTCTTGGATCACATTCTGTGGAATAAGAAAAATACTAGCCCAATAGGAATTTAAATTCATCAAAACAGCATTGATAAGTAGGGACCTGCCTGCATATGACAGATGCTTAGAGGTCCAACATTTTATCCTTGCCGTTACGTTATCCACCTTTGACATTCCATTTTACTTCATGCAGTTGGTGATATTGGCATCCCAAGATATTTCATAGGAAAACTTCCTTTCTCAAATCCCAGAATGGATTGGATTTGATTAGCTGTAGTTTCAGATACTCCTGCCACATAGACATTAGATTTGTTGAAGTTGACTCTCAGTCCAATTGTAGCTTCAAAATTCTCCATTATGTTCTTCACTCAGAGAGGTTATTTTCAGTTTATCACAATAAGGATGGAACTAAAAACCTTCTTTACTTGTTTTTGAGTTAAACATTCTGGTTAGGTACTCCATCACTATTACAAAGAGGAGGGGTGACATCGGATCACCTTGTCTCAGACCTCTTCCTCCTTGGAAAAAACCAGTACTGCATCTATTAATATTCAGAGAGAATGTTGTTGTTCTGATACACTCCATGATCCAACCTATTATCTTTGGTGGAAATCCATTAATAACAAAATAGTTATTTTTATTAATTTTTTTTATATAATTTTATTTCTCTTTACTACTTTTCATATCCATAAAAATATACTATATGATCATTACAAAAATAATTATTCAGTTTCAAGCTCTATGCTTCATATGCAACACATGTGAGTTGGGTCCAGGGATAATTTTATAATTTTAATTTTATTATTCCACCGCGATGAAAAGGTGCTAATTTATTTTGTCCACAACGATAAAAAACTATAATGATTATTAAAAAGAATAAAAATAGAGTTAACCAAATTTACAGAAATTCATCTTTGTGGACTAATTTAATCAGCACGTTTTCATGTTTCAAATGATTGTCTAATTTTTATTTAATTTTTATAACAATGAAAAAAAGGATCATTTTAGGCTAGATCAAGTACAACTTATGTTTCGTAACTTACATATGAATTAGAGGAAGTCAAGTAGGAAAGACTTGTTTTGCAGATTTTTTTAGGTTTGTTTTGTTTGGAATGATAAACTATTAATTTTCATGTTTATTTCAACGTGATTTTTTCTTGTTCATTTTCTTTATGTTAATTTTTTTATAAACTATGAAAAAAAAGGAAAATTAATTAATTATACCGGTAACAATGTATGCAAGTCGTGAAATATAAGAAAAAAAATCTAAAAAACAAAGACGAATAAATAAAATAAATTAAATTTTTAAAAAAAAATAAAAAATGACAAAATTACCCCTAGGCCAAATCACATGTGTTGCACCTGAAAAATAGAGTTTGAAAATAAATAATTATTTTCTTAAAGATCATATAGTATACTTTTATGGTTATGAAAAGTAGTAAAGAGAAATAAAATGAAATTAAAAAAATGAATAAAAAGGGATTTTTTTTTGTTATTTTTATAATTTTTTGAAACTATCGGAGAGTTTTTGGTTAGAAACTAACAGAGATCCGTTAAGTTTAACAGAAATTGAGTTAATTGGACGGAACTGACAAAAATTTGAAACAGTAAGGATAAAATTGACTAAACGAAAATCAATAGGGTAGAATTGATGATGAGCCCAAAACTTTGGTACGAACACCATTTTGTCCCTAGTTAGTTTACTCTAGAAAGATTAGAGGGACTTTACATTAGACGGAGTTTTTTACCCAAATAATTTTTAATGGAAGGAACTTGACAAAAATATATATATATTATTTTTTATTTTAGGTGGACAAATCTAGTTGTCCCGGATTTGCCAAATCCGAATTTATCTATTTTGTGCTAGATTCGTATTTGGCAAATCCGGATCTTTTATTACAACTTTGTGATGGATCAATTTTATTGGGTAGATTCGGATTTGCCAAATCCAAATCCAGTATAAAATGGATAGATTCGGATGGGGTAAATTCGAGACAACTAGTTTTGTCTAAATTCGAGACAACTAGTTTTGTCGACCTAAAATAGGAAAAAATTATTTTTGTCCATATCTTTTTTTAGAAATTTTTTTCGGCGAACCACCCAGATTAGACGTGCCGATTCTTTATCTAATCTTTTTTATTTTGGGGTTGTAAAATTCAACCCAGCTTTTGCGTGCAAGATTGTTTGAACGATTATGTTTCTGTTTTAGTAATAATTTGTTGTTAGATATGATCATGTACAACTGTTCATTATCTACCAAAATTAATATCCACGGGAAAAAGAGGTCGTGAAGTTCTAATACTTTTAACTTAACAACATATATACTGGATCATGAAAGGTGTCATAATAATAAGTAATATCTAGATCGGCATGAATTTACTTCAATTAATTATAATAATTTTTTAATAAGATAAAACCTGAGGTAAGTTTGTAGAAGAAGTGTTGTGATGGAGATTTAAAATCAGGAGATACATTGCCTAGATAATATATATATATATATATATATATATATATATATTGAGGAACCTGAAATTGAACTATTCTAAGGAACGTGAACATAATTAAACTATTCTAAAGGATCGTGAATAAAATGACATGGCATTATAACGCTCATCGTTCCATATTCATATATATGATGCGCTCTTGGTAAGAGTAACATGATGAATTTCTTCAAAGAGAACACATCTGAATGATGATGTTCTTTTAGTCAATTTAGAAAAACATTAAAACGAGCAAAAGTCATGGATGGAATACCATGGAATGAGATGTGATCACAAACGTCAAAAATCACCGAATTGAGAGAAGTACGAACTTCTCAGTTTCCTTTCGTATTCCATTGCTTATGACCCGGAATCCATTCAGGACATGTCGGACTAAAGTAGCTCGACAAGACCCTCGAGTTCAGAAGTGCAACGATTGGCCCGAATTTCACACACCGAGGTGTTTTATACTGATTGATTGAACCACCTGAGCTGATGGAATAGTCCATGAGCTCATCAAACGTGCCGGTCTCCACGATTTTTATCTCCAACGGACCAATGGACTGGTCACAAACTCGTCCCTGGCGATAAACACTGTTGAGTGACTCTTCCATGGTGAGGCAACATTCTTCGAAAACTGAAGCAGGAATCGGGTTTGATCCGTTTCGGCTAATGAGCTCCCAGTACAAAACATAGTGTCCTGGAATGGTTGTGGTGTCCGCAAAGCTAGTATAATCAGCTAAATGAGCATCTATCGGAACCAAATGGCAAGAAATGGCCTTTTCCACCGCACTTTGTAGTTCAACCTCACCCGTCTTGTCGGTATCAATGCTCAAAACTACATTTTTCCGGCAAATGTAGTGGAATTGGGGAGCCTTGTTCTTAAAACCAGCTACCCTGAGCACATCCCCCACTCTGTACCTATATAGACCTTCAAGAAACAAAAAATAAGCAAAATTGGGTTAAAGAACACGTAATGAATAAAATGATTAAAGATTTGAAGGCTAAAATGATAGCCACATAGTATGGAAACCGAATGCAATTGATTGGAATATTTAATCAACCATTCAGTTATGACATTATCGAGGTCATTACCAGCATAAGTTGTGACAACAAGCTCATAATCTTGTCCCAACTTGACATCAACCAGATCAACCAATTCTTGTTGCTCCTTATCATCAAGAGATTCGGGCGCGTTAGTAATACTGTTTTTGACATCAGTGTTCCTGTCCACAGGGATGAACTCAAAGTAGCCAAGGGTAGGAATGAGAGTGTAAGAAACCTCACTTGGTTTGGAAAGAGGGTTTAAATTAATGCCAAAGAAACACTCAGAAGAAGCATAGATTGAGCAAACAAGAGGTAAGCCATTGCTATAGTAATCCAGAGTTGGAATATATTGTGACATTGTCCCAGTCACAATGACATCAATATACTTGGTATTCGGCCATAACCTAGTAATGATTCCTTGCCAAGAAGACTCTTTCTTCCCACATTGCGATTCGATAAATTCAGCAAGTTGCGGGTCAGGTTTTAGGATTCTCATTACAGCATCCCTCACAGAAGAATCTATAATTTGTGGGTTTAGAGTACCTGTTCGGATATCATTGCACAAAAGTTGCCAGCGCATTTCAAGAAACTGGATAGCACGAATGAAACCCGAGGCGAAAACAGCACCAACACGTATGACATCTTTGTTTAGACACAAGCCACAAAGCAGCTGGGAGTACATGCTTTGGAATGTCTCCGGGCAGAGAATGGTCTGAATTGGACTTGTGTGATTTGCGTAAGGATCAGAAGGCTTGTTCTTTAAAGATGCACTGTTTTTGCTGTAGCTTGTTGAAACTGTACTTGCTACAAGTCCACCTGGTGTCTTAGCCTCACATTTAATAAACAAGAAATACATTCCTTTGCCTTTGTCTAAATCAGAAACATATTGGCTCATCACAGGCATCACAAGGGTACACAGAAATTTCCTCCTCTCCAACTCTTCCGCCATTGTAGGTATCAATTTCCGGTCTCCAGCGGAGGTGCCAGAGCTTTTTATATATGTCAATTACAAAACAATTCAATAACGAAATTTTTGTTGCTTTAACTAAAAAAAAGCACACATCTGAAAACATAAATAAACTAGAAAGAAAAATGACATGATAAACCCTTGATTAAAATGACCGAAAAGAATGATAAACAAACGAAAGAGTGAAGTTTAATACAGGATTAATTTGGGATTTATCAATAAAAAGAAAGAATAAATTTTGTATAAAAAAAAGGGAACAAAGCCAAACCTTGTTAGGAACTCAGAAATGGGCTGGCAGCAAAGAATTTGGGATTTATCACCATTAGCTATACGAGTGATATCAGGCAGAATGTCCTCATAAGTGATCACAGGAATGATTTTCTTGAAAGTTTCTCTATCAGTGTGACCATTAAGGCCATGCCTCAATAAGTACTCAACATTGGCATTTTGAGACAAGATCTCTGCAAGCACTCCTTTCTGAACCTCGTCGGCTTTTTTCGTCACTTCTTTGATGAATTCAAGAGCTTTCTTGTTGTTCTCGGCAAAAGTAGTGGAGTTATAACCAGAAGTAACCTCATTTGGTGCTTCAGCCATGGTTTCTTTTGTTGTTTTTCTTTTGTGTCTATGAACAAAAAATTGTGATAGAATTTCTTGCTGTGGCCTGTGGGATTAGGGGAGAAGAAAAAGTAAAGCTTTTATGCTTTATACAGGAAGAAATGGTAATTAAGGCTTGGGATTTCGGAAATCTTTATCAGACACCCCATAAAATCCAATGCAATCTGTTTATCAGGCTTGGTAATTAATGGAGTCGTGTCTATAAGATTTTGTTTCTAAAGGTCATTTAATTGTTATTTTTGTTTTCAAGATATTTCCTTTATTCATGTTTTCCATTCTTATTATTCATTTACTCCTTCCATTTGGACATTTTCATGTTAAGATTTTATTGTATTTCATTTTTATTTTTGTTCAAGATAACTTTCTCATCCGTATTTTACATTCTCCCGTTTCTTTTTTTCTTTTTTTTTTTTAATTCTATGAAGATCATTTGCACACATTTTCGAAAAAAGAAAGGAAAGCATCATTTGAAGATCAACGCTGAACACAAAAAGCTCACTCAAAATTTTCACCTTGTGCTTAATTAGTCAAATGTGAGGTAAACTAGCAAATTTCCTTGTCCCAAATGAGATGGCTCCCCCAACATCCGGTTTACAGCTTTGGCAACACTTCTAATCAGTAATCCATGTGTTGGATCGTAAATATCTTAGCACTTAGTGTGTCAAAGATGCGTGGATATTCCAATGAAATTGCCTCCTTATTTTGTGTAAGTAGTACCTATAATTGATTTAGCTAAAATACAGTTTTTCTATGGCTCAAGTGGCATATAAAGTCATTCCAAACAACTGATTTAAGGCTGTATTGCTAATAGGGTAATTTGGGATTGAAATAGTTAGAGGCACCACAACAACCGTTTATTATTGTTGTGTGGAGATGTAGTGCCAATAATACCATTGGAGAAGTGTGTTATTTTGTTCTTTAAATTAACATATTTGACCCATCATGCACTCGCGACTCCATTCTGTTAGTATTTTCACTGTCATACAAAAGACCACACTAAATTTCAATATTTATAATAAATTTAATAGTACAGATTGTGGAACATTCTTGTCGGATGGAATATCAACTTCGTGGATAGGACAAGAATATCAACTAAAAAAAATATGCAATCTTGCCAACTTATGATTATCGATTCATTTTGAGTTGACATGGAAAAATAGTGGTTGTTCGGGTGTCCCAGAGGCGGTCCACGAATGAGAGCTTGGAATTCCCCAAATGCCCTGCATAACAGGGTTAGCACTCCAATGCTTAAGTTAGAATCCTTTTAGAGAGAAGTGGGAGCCTAATAAAAACTATCTAGAGAGAGAATCATGTGTGAAATAAATGCTTTGGATGTTCCTTTTATAGAGGTAAAAAAGAATCAAGGAATATTCTTCTGCACATGGGTGTGCATGGATCCTTAGAGGATTTTATTATGGGTATTTGGGCCAGCCTGGTTAAGGCCCATATGAGGCAATAGCTCTATTGCCCCATCAATTGCCCCTACTAAAGGAATAAGCTGAAGCCTGATCGTCTGGGCTTAGTCTTTTAGTATATGCGGCCCACTCATCTGGGCCTAGGCTTATCTTACCTGTAGGTGGAGGTTGCCCCATCATTCGTCATCCAACGGACATGGAAATCTCCCGCCTTTTCCACTACGGGCGATCGCGATGAATCTCGATCGCCGCTTTGAACTGTCGTGTCCCTATTGATGGGGCACGTCATTTCACTACTGCGCCCCTCATTTTCCTCCCTTATCTTCCTTATAAAAGGAACATGTTGAGGAGGGAGTTTAATTTCCCAACCTTTCTGCTATTCACCCTCCTTTCTTCCTTTTAAGAGCTAGATTCTATCCCGTGGTCGGAGCAAGATTTTAGGTTTCCATCAGCCTTGTTTCGCAATCTCAGTGAGTACCAGAAGTTATTGCCCTTGTTTTGGGTTTTTTTTGTGTTGCTCTGATCTGTTGCATGATGCCTCGCCGCCAAAAAGTCATCGGGGTGAATGACATACCCAGCAAAATAGACATGGATGATTTGAGAGCAATTAGGGATGAGTTTAAGGTGAAGGGTTAGAAGATGACGGTACCCAGTCGCTGGGATCGCGCCCATCGGCCTCCCCAAGGTAAGATGACCATTTATCTTCGCCACCTAGAACTGGGGTTGAATCTCTCCCTTCCTGTTTGTGGCGGTGCTGATAAAAGCATATGAGAGGCCCTTGGCCTATGATGGGGTCGCATACTCTTGTGAAGGTCGAGAAGCGTGGTGAACCGTGGAGAGAATTCTTCTTCTACATGGATTCGCGAACGATTGAAGTCCCCTCTTGGTATGTTGACTACTATATTGGGATAACTCCGGATATTTGGACCGACGCTGATCGACGGAATTATGAGAGTCGCAAGGGATACATTGACAAGATCCGTTCCTTCGGTCGAGTGTTGCATCATATTGATGTTTAACTGCATCGCAATAGAATTTATGAGAACGCTGCAGGTACTTATCCGACCATGGCTAACTTGTCCGCTTCTTTTGTTCTGTTGTAGGTTAGAGCATAATATAATGGGTAAGAGGAATCCTTTGTCCAATGCTACAGCGTCCTCCGCAGATAACATTGTCGAGACAGAAGTTGTGTCGAAGACGAAACCGGATCGCAAGTACAAGTCTGGCTGTCAAACGGTTGCGATGCCCAGCCAGTCGCGGGCAGGAAGCAAGAAGAAAACCAAGTCTGGGAGCGGTGCTACACAAATGCCGCCAAAGCTTCCTGTCGCCCATGATGCTGGTGACTCCTCAGTGCGCCCAACCACGCCGTTGACTGGACAAGTGGGTGGTGCTGTCACTGGGGCACATGATGGTTTGGCTGCGTCGCACGAGATGGCGATGGTTGGATTCAACCCACCTCGGGTCGTGTGCCCCCGCTTAGGGCCTATGGCGAGCCCGATTCAGGCTTGGGACGCCATGTTTCAAGTAAGTGTTGTCGCTTTGTATGGTTTCATCATCTTAAATGTAGATGCATATTTCTTCTACAGTGTATCTCGGGGTTGGCGTGATGGGTCTTGTTTATACAGGAGGCCGCCGCTGAAACGAGTGCTCTTCGTGCTAGGATGGGGACAATGCAGGTAGAGTTTGAAGACCAGGGTCGCGGCCACATGGCCACAATCGCATCGTTGGAAACAGAGATCATGAGGCTGAGAGGGGAATTGGACACCGCTAACAAAGAGCTCCAAGGCTTGTTGAAGTCAACCATTCCTCGTGCCATGATAGGACAGATCAAACGTGCGGTTGTGCATAAGGTGTTAGGGTCTCACCAGTTTGCAGTAGGGGTTGGAAACATGTTGGGGTCATCTAGGGAAGTGGGTGCACATGATGTGCTGGATGAGGTGTTCAAGGACTATGCTGGCAATCCCGAAGATGCAGCCCTGATGCGTGACAAGTTGGCCTCGTATTGGAACAGGCATGCGGATCGCAACCTGTTGGTGGCCAGGGTCCGTCGGGATACTCGTGCTTTTATGCGCGACATCAATGTGGACAATTTTCCAATGATAAAAGCAATCCGAGAGATATGCCCCTATCTGGAATCTGCTCAAAACATCTTGGACTTGGATAGCGACCTGACAACGGCGTTTGATATGCCAGATCGAATCGCGACACCGCCCCCTCTCCTAGTTGTTCTTTTGGTCACTCTGGTTCTGGAAGTTCATCCTCTAGCCCTGGTTCTGGCGGGGATAAGGATTTCCAAGATGAAACCCCTGAGATTCCCGATCCCAATGACGAAAAGACTGAGGAAGTTGACATTGAGGTATAGGGGTCGATGTTTAGATGCATTTCTGTCCTGAACCCAGTCTAGATTATTTCTTTGTAAGGACTTCTGGGAAGGCATGTACCTTTCCTTGCGTTTATTTATATTTCAACTTGGCTGCTTCCGAGTTTGTATGGTTATGCTTGTTCTTCCATGCATTGACGTAGAAATGACCTATCCTTCTGAAATGCAGGATGCCACTCATACCGAGGCGGCCCTGCATATAAGAAGTGGCAATCCACCTAGTCCGGATGTGGTTTTGATCACTCCTTCCCTGTCAGATGGTGGAAACACTCTTGTTCCCCCAACTGGGGGCGGGGTGGGTGTTAATGCGAGTACGGACGGGTGTTCCGAGGAACGGGATGATTACAGTGAACATCCTGGATCCCATGCTTGAATCTGAAAACTCTATGTACTATAACCGGATCATGTCTGGCATCCTCAACCCTGCATGTGGCGGGAGTCAGGACCGGGAGGCTAAGGAACAACAGTTGAGGGAGATAGTGCCGACCATGTACGCCGTGGTGTTCCAAGTGCTGCGCTTATTGCTGAAACGTTGTCAGTCTAATTGTTGGAGAAATGAGCACCTATGGGAAAAAGACTTGCGGGATTTCATCTAGATATGGGATCAGCAAGACGAGCGTATCGAGGGTTTAGAGGGAACAGTTCGTGAATTGAAGAAGCTTGTTCCTCATGCCCGATGTCAATACCTCCCAGCTGGTGTGGAAGCGACGCTTCCGCGATCCTATCTGGAGTCTATGCGAGATGGCTTGAAGAGGGTTTATGCTATTATCGTTGTGTGTTGGCAGAGGGACTCGTAGATCCTGGGACATTATAGGATGTTTGCCCAGCGCCTTCGCGCGACCGTTCAGATCTTGGCGGACCGGGTCGCTGAAGCTGGGGGCATTGTTGATCCTAGTTTGCTTCTTTTTCCTGATTTTGAAAACATTGACCATCCTCCACCATTTCCTGGTTGTTTCGGAAGACAAAATAATTCAAGGACCAATGCCAGATATTCTGCCGCCTGATGTTTAGGCGTTATGCTAGAACCTCATTAATCTGCCCTACCTGTTGCGTAGGCCACGTTCTTTTATCTGTTGTTTTGTACATCCGCTAATACGCTGTAATAAACCTGCAAGTTTGCTTTGTTTATCATTGTTGCATATGTTTCCTTGTTTTAATCGCGAAATTGTGACATTTGACTTTTGGGAGGCTTCAATTTGTGGGAACTTGCGATAGTCCCCTCCAGAGTTTTGTAGCCGCGTCGCC